CTCTCTCTCTCGATCTTCCTCTCGTTTCCTCTATCTCTCGGTCTCTGTCTCTTGATCTTCGTCTCTCTCTCTCTCATTTTTTCTCTGTGTCTCTCGCCTATCTCTCTTCTCCCTATCTCTCTCATTTGTTTTCTTTCTTTGTCTCTCTCGCTCATCTCTCTTATTTCTATCTCTCTCATTTTCTTTCTCTCTCTCTTATCTTTCTATCTCTCTCTATCTCTCTCGCTCATTTCTCTTTTCTTTCTGTCTCTCTCTTTTTCTGTGTCTCTCTCTCGCTCATCTCTTTTCGCTCTATTTCTCTTTTTTTTGTCCATCTCTCGCTCATCTCTTGTTTCTCTCTCTTTTTCTATCTTTCATTTCTCTCTCTATCTCTTTTTCTATCTATCTCTCTCTCCCTGTCTCTCTCTCACTCATCACTCTTCTCTCTCTATGTGTCTACTTGTCTATTTGTCTATTTCTCCCTCACTATGTTCGCCTTGCTCACTCTCTTACTCCTATCTTCTTTATTTATCGAGCTCCTTCTCGATTTATTGATCCACTATAAGAAAATAGACTTTTAGCAACCACTTTGTCTATCTCTCTCTCTCGCTCATCACTCTATCTCTGTGTCTCTCTCTCTCTATCTCTCTTCTTTATCTGTCTCTCACAAAATTAAAATATTTTTAAAATATTTAAATATTTAAAATATTTAAAAAATTGATTTGAATTAAGTTTTGAACAGAGTTTTGAATTATCTGTCTTCTTTATTTATTGAGCTCCCTATCGATTTATCGATCCACTACAAGAAAATGCACTTTTAGCGATCACTTTGTCTTTTTCTCGCTCATCACTTTGTCTCTCTATCTCTTTTCTCTATTCGTCTCTCACTCATCTTTCTCTCTCACTATCCATCTTCTCTACCACATTTACCACTGCTGCAAATGCCATTCAACTACCACCACTCTTCTCTTTCTCTCTTTCACTCATCACTCTTACTTCTTTGTCTGTTTGTCTATCTATCTGTTTGTCTGTGTGTCTTTCGTTCATCTTTCTTCTCTCTATCTCTCTCATTTGTCTTCTCTCTATGTCTCCCTCGCTCATCTCTCTTCTCTCTATCTCTCTCATCTCTTTTCTCTCTCTGTCTCTCTCGCTCATCTCTATTCTCTCTATCTCTCTCATTTCTTTTCTCTTTCTCTCTTATCTTTCTATCTCTCTCGCTCATTTCTTTTCTCTCTTTGTCTCTCTCTTTTTCTGTGTCTCTCTCTCGCTCATCTCTTTTCGTCTTTCTCTCTCTTCTCTATCGGCGAATAAATTAGGAGAAACAACATATCAGTGTAGGTTTATAAATAAAAAAATACATATCAAGGATAAAGTTTATAAATTTTAATAATTAAAATGTTAAACTTTTTCATGTCTCGAGAACATGTCGCTACAAGAAAACTGGGTATATGAGACGGAACTATTTGCGACGGTACACTTGCCGTCTTTTTGAGACGGCAGAAAATGCCGTCTCAAAAAAGCAGAGTATTTGCAGTGAGGTGTGGACAAGAGATGAGGTGGTGGTGGTGGGTGGTGCATGGTGATGGCCAAAGAGATTAGTGGTGAAGTTGTGTAGTGGTAGTTGTAAATGAAGTGGCAGGGGTGAAAGAGAGGTAATGGATAAGAGTGGTAGTGGTTGTAGTGGATGTGCGATAGTGTAGTAATGAGTGGTAGAGGTGAATGGCTACAGTAGAAAGAATGGTGTGTGAATGGTTTTGCAAAGTAGTGGAAAAGTCGTGGGTAGAGGAGATGGTGAGGTGAGAGAGAAAAATGAGTGAAGAACAGATAGAGGAAGAAGAGAAAACAGAGAGAGTGATGACGAGAGAAGGAGATTCAAGAGAGAAAGAAGATTATAGAGAGAGACAGAGAGAGGAAATAGAATAGAGAGAGACATATAGAAAAGATTAGAGATAAATCAAGAGATGCGAGATGACACATAGAAAGAAGAGCGAAAGAGCTGAACGATAGAGAGAATAGGAAAAGATAGTAGACGATAGAGAGAGAAGGAGATAGCGAGAGAGACAGAGAGAGAACAAGAAGAGATAAGAGAGATAGAGAGAAGAGAGAGAAGCGAGGGAGACATAGAGCAGAAGACAAATGAGAGAGATAGAGAGATAGAAAGATAGAACGAAAGAACACAGACAAATAGGACAAACGATAGTAATAGCACAAACAGACAGAGATATAAGAAGTGTGAGTGAAAGAGAAAAGAAGAGTGGTAGTTGATTGAATGGCGATTTGCCAAGTAGTAAGTAGTGGGTAAATGTGTAAGAGAGATGGCGGCCTATGGAGAGAAAAATGAGTCAGAGACGAATATGACGAAAAGCAGATAGCAGCAGAGAGACAGAGTGATGCACCAGCCGATGGGAAACAGAAGAAAGAAGCAGAATTACATCCGATATCAATCCAGTAGGTACGAGAAAGCATGTAAGAAAGTTATATGATACTCTCTTATCTCATAAGCACCCTTGTGAACGATACCACAAAATGTCAAACCCCAACAACTACTAAGAGCAGCAAACATTTTTTTTTTATGAGAAGTTGGGGATACTTCATATTAAATAAATTAAAATTAACAAAAAAAAGAAGAAGGATTGGCTTCCCAATACAAAGAAGTGCAGTTTATCAAGTTGGACTTGATGCCTACTATGAAATTTCATTTTATTAATCAAGGACTTATTAATTAGATTTATCTTTAGAAATAGGACAGTATATTATAGGTTTTGTGTAGTATGTGACTAAAAAAAGTCAGCTTGTATTAGCTATAAAATTTTCATTTTGCTTAAAAAAACTTATTACTCAATGTGAGCAGATCATTTTTTTGCACAAAAAAAAATCCACTTTAGTCACTTTAAACAAACTTATTTAAAAAATTAAACTATGGTCAAACTAATTAACTTTTTTACTATACCTTTTTTCGTAAGTTTATTTTTTAAGTCAATTAACTAGTTTAAAATGACATTCTAGCAGTGCTAAAAAAATTACAAATCACCTATTGTTTTCACTTTTTACAAAAACACGTTTTTAAAAATATTCTTCCTTCTTCAATTTTTTATGTTTTTTGTTTTTTATTTGAAATTTTTTTAATATTTTTTAAGCATTTTTTCTTTAGACGCACCATAACATATAATACACCTAAAAAGTAAAAAATTATATTTTTTTTTTTAAAAAATTTACTAACACCCAAAAATATAAAAAAAAAAAATACAAGAATTCTAATTTTTATGTATTTATTAATTTTTTAAAATATTTTTCACAATTTTTTTTACTTTTAGATACATCTAGTTAAGAGTGTATTAAAAAAGTATAAAAAATGTAAAAAAATGTTTAAAATTTAAAAAAATATTTTATAAAAACAAAAAAAAAAAAAAACACAAAATAAAAAAAAATTAATTTTATAAAAAAACATAATCTAAAAATTATTCAAACTAACAACACACTGAATATATTCATGTCCAGTCTTGTGTCACTCACTCCACTTTATGACTAATCCTATGTCGCAACTTGCTATAAAAAATTTCAGTGGAGGTCCAAGGGCAGGGTTGGATGAATGCTCTCCAAAACCTTAGCTTGCCTTTTTTTTATCTACTATAAAACGATTGGCTGTATTGTATTCAAATCTTTTTTGTTCCTTTTTCATGCTTGATATTGCTTGGAGAAGTTCTAATTGGTATTTGGTTGGAAGATTTAGGAGAGATTTAGAAAGGAAAAGGAAAAGGTGGTGAAATTAGGTGAATTTAAGTATATTATATTTAATATTTCACCTAACTTTTATTTCCTTTCAAATCATTCCTAAATCCCTCAACCAAACACAGCGTAAGTTTGGATACCTAAGATACGTAGCCCAAGAATGGGGTTGATAGGCACCAGAGATAAGGCAGAAATACATTGCCACCAAAAATTAAGATACAAAATAAAGGTATACCAAATTGCCGATTGCTATCAATACCGTTCCATGTTTGCTTCAAGTCGAAACCATATGCCATTGTCCACATTTGTTGCAATTATTATTTTTTTTTAAAAATGCTTATGAAGGGTTTGTTGTTTGTATAGCGAGCCAAGATGTTAAGCTGACCGTGTCGAGGTGGGAATTGAATTCAACTTGAAGTAGGCTTATGAGATAGGGATAAAACATATTAATTTACATGATTTATGTTAATTATATACCAACTATTTTTTGTTAATTTATTTATTTCTTTGTTTATG